ATAATCTACTAGCAGGATTTAAGGCTACTGGCATATATCCATTCGACCCTGAACATGTTCTCTCGAAATTACCCAATTTTACAAATATAGATATTTATCTCAGCATTGGAGAATCGTTTAGGAAATATGTTGATGAAATTCATACATCTAATCTTAATTATAAAGCAAGCAAAAAATTCAAGTTACCAATAACAGCAGGGAAAAGTGTATCAGCCACTGAGGTAGAAGCATACTAGAAGTTAAGAGACAATAAGAAAAAAAATCAAGGCAATATTCGAACAAAGAAAAGAGGAAGACCACTTGGATCAAAAAATATAATTATGAAAATAAACATAAAAAATATTTCACAAAGTTCATGCATTGTAGATGTTAATCAAGTTATTAAAGACAATGAGCAAGTTGTACCTCAAAATGATGCAGTTTCTTTATTAGAGCAAATAAACAATCACAATATACTTGTTTTCCATGATCATGATTATTCGATTAAAGAGTTAGTTGTGACTCAAGACTAAAATAATGGACTTAAACACTGTAATATTTAATTTTATAGTCACAGGTGTTTATTTGTGTGGAATTATATAGAAATGATGATTAAAATTGACATTTAATTTAATAGTGTTCAAAGTTACCCTAAATGTAAGTGTAACTTTGAATCCCTACTTGAACTTTGTTTTGTAACAAAATAACTAGCAAATTTAAAAAAATTATAACTAACTAGAAAGAAGAGATCATCAGAACACCTTTTATGTAAAAATATTTGTTAACTAGTTTGTAAAAAAAATTTTGTTGAGATAAACCTAACGCAAAGCGTTCAAAGTTACCTGGAATTAAGGACTGAAGTTCCCGAAAAACGGTTCTTCGGTTCTTCGGTTCTTCGGTATTTTTCGGGAAATCGAAAGGAATCGAAGGTTTCGGTTCCTTATCAGAATAGGAATCAAAAAGAGCCGAAGTTATCGGTTCCTTATAAAAAAGGAATCGAAAAGAACCGAAGTTATCGGTTCCTTATCAAAATATGAATCGAAAAGAATCTAAGTTATCGGTTCTTTATCAGAATAGGAATCGAAAAGAACCGTAAATTGATTACTAACCTTTTTTTTAATAATATACTTCCGTTATAATCAATATTTTCGATTCTTTTCAATATTTTCGGTAATTTCGATTCTTTGTAATAAATCGGTAAATTTCAATTATTAATTAAAAAATCGTTTTTATTGTAAAGAACCGTTTTTATTACAAATACGTTTTAATAATGGCGTGCGAAATTAAATTCAAATTCATTCAAATTTAATTTCCCTCCCCTAAGGGATTCCCCTTTACCAGTATAGATAGTGGGGTTTTGTGAAAATCTAATCAGTTACAATTTATTGTTTCACAAACAACTCTTTACAACAATTTACAATAATGTCTCAAGTTAATAATGCAATTTGGAATTACTTTACCAAACTACCAGAAGTGACAGTGAATTCTGACACCAAAAAGAAAACTTATAAATCAAGTTGTAATCAATGTCAAGCAGTGTTAACTTGCTGCCATGGAAGTACATCAGGAATGAGTAAACATTTAAGGTAAGTAATGTTTTTTCAATTTTTTCGGTAATTTCGATTCTTTTTAATATTTTCAGAACTTTTGCAATTTAAGTTAATATTAAGTAAAGATTTACTTTATAAAAAAATAAAAAAATAACAATAGTTCTGAATAATTAAATAAACATAAGCACTGATTATTATTTATTATAATCAGTGTTTATTATAATCAGTGTATTACTGTTTGTTACATTTAATTTAATATAGCGCCATCTATAGGAGTTATTTCAATTTTTTCGATTCTTTTCAATATTTTCAATTATTTCGGTAATTTCGATTCCTATCCCTATAATTATTTAATTTAAATCTTTTTTTATACAGATCTCAGCATCTTGTACATATCACAACATCTGTGAGAAGAGAAGCTAAGTACATAACAAGAATTTTAAATACGTTAGTTACAATATAACTATAGGATCACAGATCCAGCATCTCAACAATAGCCTTAAATAAACTCTAACGCTGTCATAGATACCTCATTCGAAATATGATAACCAATCAAAAGCGTAGGAAAATGAGTAACCCGCGAAACCCAAAATCATAACAATAATAGAATAATATATGATAGTGAAAAAGAACGTTGCACAAAAACCTTAAAAATGTAAGCGACATATATGTAAACATTAAATGAAGGATATTAAAAATATTCTCTGAATAATAGTAAAGATGAAAATTGTGCATGTGAAAAATAAAACAAAGCTGAGTAATGAATTAAAGATAATATAACATGAAAGTTTCTGTAAACAGTATTAATATGAAAATCAGGAGATAAGTAATATATTAATAAATATAGCAATAAGACTAACTAAATATTGTAATAAAACCAGATAATTTTAAGCCAAATGAGTGGTTAAAAAATTAGTTGTGGGTTATATAACAATGATATAAATCGTGATATAAAAACGATGAAGAAAGCG